AATCATATGGAGTGCAATGTTACACTCCCCCCCAGCGCCCCGCTAGCCCAGCCCTGGGCTCCCTCTGCCCCCCACCCCGGAGGTGGCTGGGGCCGGGCCGGCGCGTGCCGGGGGTGGCTGGGACCCGGGCCCTGTGCTCAGTGGCTCTCCCCGCAGAGCATGGACTCCTCGGAGCTGTCGGACGGGCCCATCACGCTGCAGGAGTACCTGGAGGTGAAGAAGGCGCTGGCCGCCTCCGAGGCCAAGGTGCAGCAGCTGATGAAGGTGAACAACAGCCTGAGCGACGAGCTGCGTCGGCTGCAGCGTGAGGTTGGTGCTGGGCCGCGTCCCGCTGACGTCCTGCCCGTGCGCGGAGTGAACGTTGTTCTGGGCACCAACACGGAGGTGCTGTGTGGCGGGGGTGGGGCTGAAGGGTTCGGAGTGTGCGAGGGGCTCAGGGCTGGGGCAGGGGGTAAGGGCTGGGGGTGTGGGCTCTGGGGTGGGGATGTGGGGTTTGGGGTGCAGGAGGGGGCTCCGGTGAGGAGAGAGGACTCCCCCCCCCCAGCAGCCCCTGGGCTGGGTGTGTGTCTGTGGGCCTGGTGCCTGGGGGGAGGAGAGGGCGTGTCTGTGGGCCCAGGGCCGTGGGGGGGCATCTGTGGGGCCGCGGGTGAGGGCAGGAGGGGACATGTCTGTGGGCCTGGGGCAGGAAGGAGTGTCTCTGGTGCCAGGGCTGTGGGGAGGGTGTGTGTCTGTGGGCCCAGGGTTGGCGGGGGGGTCTGTGGGCCTGGTGCCTGGGGGGAGGAGGGGGCATGTCTGTGGACCCGGTGTCGGGGGCAGGAAGGAGCGTGTCTGTGGGGCCCGGGGGGCGTCTCCGCCATGCGCTGCTCCATCCCTCCAGATCCACAAACTGCAGGCGGAGAACTCGCAGATGCGGCAGCAGCCGGGCCCCGGGCATGCGGTGCCAACCCCCAGCGAGCGCTCAGAGCACGGGCATGGCGTGCCCACGGCAGCAGCTCACCGGCGCGACCGCCAGGCCTTCTCCATGTATGAACCGGGCTCTGCCCTCAAGCCCTTCGGGCAGCCCGTGGACGAGCTGGTCGGCCGCCTGCAGCCCTTCCACTCCAGCGTGAGTCCTGGGGGGAGCGGGGGCGGTCAGGGCCACGCCTGTCCCGGGGTGTCCCCTTGCTGCAGTCTGCAGGCACCGGTGGGGACTGCCCTCCGGGCCCCTCTTTCCTCCCCTAGCCAGTGTCTCAGCTCTGTGCACTGCCGCGTGGGGCCCAGAGCCCCCCCGCCTGGCGCTCTGTGGGCTCCATGGCTCAGGGCCCTCCATGCCCACTCCAGGTCTCTGCCACTGGGTGCTGGCAGAGGGCACCGTGCTGCCAGCCAGCATGCTGCGAGATCAGTGCCCTCTTGGCAGCAGCATGGCCCAGTGGAACCAGCCCCTGGACTCCTGGGTCCTAACCCCAGCTCTGAGGCCTGGTCTGTGTGAATGGGGCCTGGGCCGCCCAGTGAGTGCCGATGCTGCTTGTCAGTGGCCATGAGGCAGCTGGTCTCCCCACGGTGGTGTCTGAGCGGGGCTGACGGGACGCTGGGCATGGCGCTGACTGGGGCATGAGCCACTCCGCTGGTGGTGGGGCAGGGCACTGTTGGGAGCAGCTCTGGGGGGTAACGTTTGCTGTGTCCCCAGGAGGTGGACGATGAAGCGGTGTACTCCACGCACATCCCGGCCAGCGGGTACCGGGTAAGGGGGCCAGGGCGTCGGGCAGGGGGGGTGGAGGGACGGTGAGCCGCAGATAGACCCTGGGACTGGCTTCCTGTGGGGGGAGAGGGGGGGGAGCCCAATGGGTCATGCTCACCCTGCTATAAGTGTGATACATGCCCCCTGTGCCCGTGTGGGGGGACGCTGGCCCTGTGGTGCCGGAAAAGGGGTGCCCCTCTGCCCTCTCTCCACGGTGTGCGTGGGCAGCCCAGCCCTGCCCCCCACCGCTCTCTGTACGCATGTCGCAGTGCGGGGGGTTAGCGTGGGACCCCCAGTGGGCCAGGGCCCGAGGGGCGGCTGCTGCCAGCTGGAGCCCTGGTGCAGCCGCTTGGGACGGATGCTGTGGAGGGGGTAACTCGTCATCGATTGGGAGTCGGGCGTTCCTCGAGCGCCCCAATGGGTTGTCTTTATGGGGAGGGGCTGGCACCTTTCGTACCCACTCGCCCCGACTCTCCCTGTCCTCTTGCAGATCCGGAAGGGGGTGTCTGCCTCCTCGGTGCCCTTCCCCCCCTCCTCCCCGCTGCTCTCCGGCATGCAGGACGGCGCCCGCCACATGGTGACGTATTCGCTCTGAACCAAAGGGGAGGGACCGGCCATGGGGCAGACGAGTGGGGGGGTTAAGCCCTCGATGCTGGGTGTTGGGGGTGCCCATCTCTGGGTGGGCGGGGTGGCTGCATCATCCCTGTGCCCATCACTGGGGCAGATCCCAGCCCTATGCCCGGGGCGGGGGAGAGCTCTGTACAGGGAGCCCCATGACGGGGTTCCCCAGCCCCGCAGGGGAGGGTCCAGGAGCCTACCATGGGGGAGGAGGGGTCATGGACCCCGTGGGGAGCTGGGGGTGGAGCCTGCACCTGACGCTGCTCCGCCTCCCCTCTAGACCAGCAAGCTGGACCGGCACGGCAGCGGGACTGACAGCGACTATGACAACACACAGGCTGGCGAGACACTGCTCAGGTCAGGGGTGGGGCCTGGCAGGGTGGGGTGGGGCCAGGGAGCTGCTGCTCTGGTCAGGGGCGGGGCCAGGGAGCTGCTGCTCAGGGACGGGAGGGCTTAGTGGAGGGCGGGGCCAGGGAGATGCTGCTCGGGGGAGGGGAGGGGCTTAGTGGAGGGCGGGGCCAGGGAGATGCTGCTCAGGGGAGGGGAGGGGCTTAGTGGAGGGCGGGGCCAGGGAGATGCTGCTCAGGGGAGGGGCGGGGCCGGGGTGCACTTGGCGGCTCTCCAGGCCCGGTGCCCATGCTGGCGGGCAGAGCGCTGGGAATCCCACCCAGCGATGGTGCGCAGCCCCTGAGGCAAGGGCCCTGGAGCAGCCTGGGGCAGGTCTCCTGGCGAGTGATCGCCTCCCATGGGCCTGGCACAACCCCCTCCCTGGCTGGACCGGGGGTTGCCCTGGTTCATGGCCTGCTGCCCGGCTGCCCCTGACCCAGCGCCGGCTCCGTCCCTGCAGCATGGACGGGAAGCGGTTCCTGGACCTGGGGAAGGACGACGACTTCCACGCGGAGCTGGAGGCCCTGGACGGGGAGCTGGACCCCGGGCTGCCCAGCACCGAGGACGTGATCCTGAAGACCGAGCAGGTCACCAAGAACATCCAGGAGCTGCTGCGGGCCGCCCAGGAGTTCAAGCATGACAGGTAGGGGCGGAACTGGGGCTGGGGGCTCAGAGCCATGGGCACTAGAGCTGAGCCCCCCTTTCCTGGCCAGGTTCCTCATGGTGGGGGAGGGACTGGGGGCTGGATCCCGCCAGCCAACGACCCCCTGCAGTTCCGGTTGGTCTAAGGGCTCTGCCTCAGTATCTCTTGGGCCGTTGTGTGCTGCTGCCACTGCCCATCCCCCAGAAGTGGCTGCATTGCTGGGGTTGGGAGTAAGCTGCTCCAACTCCCAGCTGCTGGTATGGGCATTTTCTCCACTTGGTGTCTGCTGGGGGTTGGGTGCGGGAGCTGGAGCCACCTGGTGTCCCGGCTATGCCCCACTGGGGGTGGGACTCGTCCTGTGGCTGGGCCAGGCCTTACAGCTCTGCCTTCTCCCCCAGCTTCGTGCCCTGCTCCGAGAAGATCCACTCCGCCGTCACCGAGATGGCCTCGCTCTTCCCCAAGGTAAGAGGGGCCTGTGTGCCCTGTGCCCAGGGTTCCACCCCTGTCCTGCCCCCGGCGCCCCTGCCTGGCAGCGGGAGCTGAGCCCCAAGGCCTGTCTCTGCCCTGCTGCAGAAGCCAGCCCTGGAGACGGTGCGCAGCTCCCTGCGGCTGCTCAACGCCAGTGCCTACCGGCTGCAGAGCGAGTGCCGCAAGACCATGCCGCCGGAGCCTGGCGCGCCCGTGGACTACCAGCTCCTGACGCAGCAGGTCATCCAGTGTGCCTACGACATCGCCAAGGCCGCCAAGCAGCTGGTCACCATCACCACCCGCGAGAAGAAGCAGTGAGGCCTGGTCCCCGCCTGGCGGCTCCCTCCCCCCTCCCCCCCCCCCCCCCCCGGGCAGGACGTGGGGCTGGGGAATAGCCAACGCAAGTGTCCTTAGTCTGCCCATGGGACCTGAGCACGTGCCATTCCTAGCCCCCCGTGCTGCCAGCGTGGGGCTCCGGCCGTGCCCCCTCCCCCCACGCTGCCTGTGTCCGGCGTGGGGCAGAGCGGGGCTCTGGCAGTGCCCTCTCCCCCCACACGGCCAGTGTCCTGGCACTGGCCCAGCCCCCTCCCCCACGCAGCAGCCCTAGGGACACTCCCCGATGGAGCAGGTGCCAATGCCCAGCCGCGTGGCGTGGCTGTGTGTGCCCCCCTGTACATAGCCCCTCATTCTGTTCTCCCAGCCCCACCCGCCATCAGCCAAGGAACCACTAACTGGGCAGCGGGGAGCCCTCTGCCCTCTCCCCCGCCCCACGTGTGTAGCTGTCTGTGGTGGGCAGAGCAGCCACACCCATAGCGGTCTCAGCCCGCAGCATTACACTGGACCCGGAGCCCGGCCATGGCTGGCGACCGGCATGTTCCCCCTGTGTGTGAGTGTGAGCCCCCAGCCTCTCCCCATGCACGGCTGCTCCGCGGCAGGCTCCTCACCTCATGCCCAGCCCCTGGGCCCTCCCCCACTGCCCAAGTCACAGTGCCAAGGGCCCAGGCTCCCCGGCAGGCTCTGACCCTCGCCAGGAGCTGGGTGCCCGGGGAAGCAGTGGGGAAGGGGCGGAGAAGGGCCCAGGCTGGCTGGGGCCTGTACGGCCAGGTGTGTACTGTACATTTGTATCAAATAAAGTTGTGACTGTGGCCCTGTCTGCCAGCAGCCCTGGCTTGCCCCTGAGCCCCCAGCCAGCCCTTCCTGCCCTCCGCCCACCAGGGGCAGCCAGACGCAGCACCTCTCTTCAAACACTTTATTCAGCACAAAGCGGGAGCCGCCCCCGCCCCAGGTGTGTCTTGCCCACGCGCTCCCCGCTAGTCCGAGCTCTCGCTCGACGCCCCCTGGAGCAGCAGCCGCCTCTGCTGGGGGCGCTGCCGCTTCTTGCGCCTGCTGGGGGCCGACAGGAGCCGCCTCTTGAGCAGAGCTGCACAGAGACAGAGCGTGGTCAGGCCCCGCCGGAGGGGGCTGCTGTGGGCTCTCGCCCAAGGGGGGGGAAGGAAGGTGCTGTGGGTACTCACCGGAGGGGGGAGGGGGAGTGCTGTGGGCACTCACCCGAGGGGAGGGGAGGAAGGGGTTCTGGGGCACTCACCCGG